CGATAGAAAATATAATTATTGTCGAAAAGCCGAAGAAAACGATCCTTTTCCACTTTTTTGGATTAGAGTTTATCGAAGTGATATTGTTTTCTCTTTCATATTCGTGTCATTTTCTGATGAATGGTTCAAAGAGTGATTCTCGTGATAACTATACATGCTTATGAGCTTATGTGGAAAATTTATCTGTTAAACCCAATCTTTTCGAAGATTTTTTCTGTTAACATCATTGAATTGTTCATATTCTTTGAATGCATAATGATATCATATACATTGCATTACATTATCAAGTAGAAAAACAATGTGTTTCCCTCCTTACAACAAAAGGTACTGTTTATTAAGCTTGCTTTAGTAATTAGTCTAAAGCAAGGTTGTCAAAACAGAACTCCGTTTGTTTTGCGGAAAATGAATGATTTGGAAAACAACTTCCTAAAAACGATCTTTTGTATCATTTACAAAAATGAAATAGCAAAGAATATTTTCTTTGTCCACGAAAATATTTAGACATACATTGTTATCGATAATGAAAACATTTTCCATTGAGTAATTATTTCAAACAATATAAGCAATCATTTTTAGGAAAATATTTTTCAAATTATTTATTTTCCGCAAAACAAATAGAGCCTTCATCTAGGATCGCCAAGAGTTTCATGAAATTAAGTGGTCATTAAATTTTACTTATTTGTTTGAGTTAGTAACATAGCAATGTACCCATTCCAAGAAGGATTATTGGTAATACAGTATCACATAATATCGTTAAGTATCTGGGCTACAATTCACAGTATGAACACTGCTAGCCATAAGGGTATTCAGATCATTTTAAAACAAAAAGGAAGATGAAAGGTGTTGCTAATCATTATATAAGGAAAGATTTAGTTTTCGAAACACGTACTACAGGGAAAATAACTCAAACCCTAATCTCTCCTTATTTGATAAATTACTAGTGTCGTACGCTAATTTCTTGACAAAACCCGTTTCGCAATTTGTAACATTGAAGCCTCTCAAACGTTTAATTGATATTGACATTAGGGACACAGAGAGTTAAAACTCTTTGGGTTGTCCTTGGTGGTTCAGGGAATGATTTTCAAGATAACAGAACTTGGTTCTTATAGTTCATGCGCAGGCGAATAGACATGTAGAAAACAAGTTAATTTGAATGATCCAGTTACCATCCAATTCATTTAAATGCAGGAGTGATCTGAAAGAGGGGATTAACATGCGTGAATACCAAAATGAATCAAGAAGTGATACTATATATTTGGAAAGAAGTCATTTTTCTGAAGGTTTCTTATATTATCCATTTCCTTCCATGTAGGATTGAAAGTCTCTAGCCCTGGGGATGTGGTTCTGCCAAATGCCATCATCAAGCTTTTCAATATGACAAGTCGAAAGGGATACATCAAACATCTACACTTACCTTTCGGCGCTCGCTTATAATATCGCCATGATTGCCTATAGTAACAGCAGTATCCCAGCACTACAAAAAAACTGATTTTTTCCGACCAAATTTCCAACGAAAAATTCTGGAAAATTCGTTGGAAAACGAATTTCCAACGAATTTTCCAACGAAAAAAAATTCGTTGGTAATATGTCGTTGGAAAATTTTCCGACGAAAAATTTTAATTTTCGTTGGAAATTTCGTTGGAAAATTCGTGACTAAATTCGTTGGAAACGAATTTTTTTTTCCGACGAATTTTTTTCGTTGGAAATTACAAATTTTTTTTGATCGAAAAATCGTGGAAAGTTTTTTTCCATCAAATTTTTTTTTGGCCGAAAAATGGCCCTCGCCGGCGGCGAGGCGCCTCGTCGCCGGCGAGGCCGAGCTCGCCCGGATCCGGGCGAGCTCGAGCTCCGTCGCCGGCGAGGCCGAGCTCGCCCAGATGCAGGCGAGCTCAGCTCGCCGGCCATGGCGAGCTCGGCCCTCGCCATGGCCGGCGAGGCCGCGGACCGCGCGCGGCGGTTCCAAGCGGCTCACACGGCCGAGAAAGGAAAGAGAGATCGAGGTCGGTTGGACGGTGGCGGTGAGGCGGGATGGGTGGCGGCCTCGCCGGCCATGGCGAGGCCGAGCTCGCCATGGCCGCCGAGCTCGAGCTCGCCCGGATCCGGGTGAGCTCGGCCTCGGCAGCGACGAGCTCGAGCTCGCCCGGATCCGGGCGAGCTCGGCCTCGCCGGCGATGAGGCGTCGGGCGTCGGGGGCGGCCCATGGTGGCGTCGGGAGCGCCGAGCCGCCGCGGTGAGGGGCCCTGGATGGCCGCAGCGACGCCTTCGGGGGACGGAGCCGGCGTCGCGGATGACCGGATGCCGATCTTGGTGTCCATGGCACCGGAGCCGAGTCGGAGGAGGAGGGGGGGTGGCGGGGAGGGCGGCGGGGAGAAGGTGGAAGGCGAAGGAGAGACCAGAGAGAGAGAGGAGGAAACAGGGAGCGAGTCAAGCGTCGAATGGACCTCGGTAGGAGTTGAGGGAGAGAGGGACTCGGAGAAGGGAGGCTTGGGGGGAAGGAGATGAAGGAGACGGCCATGGCGGAGCAGAGGGAGCGAGAGAGAGAGACACTAAAATAATTGCCCGGAAAATTAAAATTCGTTGGAAAATTCGTTGAAAATTTCCAACGAAAAAAATTCCAACGAAAAAAATTCGTTGGAAATTTCCAACAATTTTCCAACGAAAATTGTATAAACTGAAATAATTGCTCGGAAAATTGAAATTCGTTGGAAAATTCGTTGGAAATTTCCAACGAATTTTCCAACGAATTTTAAAAATGCCGAACGGTACCGGTTTTTTTTGTAATTCGTTGGAAATTTCCAACAAATTTTTTTTCGTTGGAAATTTCCAACGAATTTTCCAACGAAAATTGTATACAATGAAATAATTGCCCAAAAATTGAAATTTCCAACGAATTTTCCAAAGAATTTTAAAAATGCCGAACGGTATCGGTTTTTTTGTAATTCGTTGGAAAATTCGTTGGAAATTTCCAACGAATTTTCCAACGAAAATTGCACAAACTGAAATAATTGCCCGGAAAATTGAAATTCGTTGGAAAATTCGTTGGAATTTTCCAACAAATTTTCCAACGAATATAAAAATGCCGAACGATCGGGTTTTTGTAATTCGTTGGAAAATTCGTTGGAAATTTCCAACGGAAAAAATTCGTTGGAAATTTACAACGAATTTTCCAACGAATTTTGTTTCGTTGGAAATTTCCAACTAATTTTCCAATGAAAATTTTTTCGTTGGAAATTTCCAACGAATTTTGCGACGAAATATAGTTCGTTGGAAATTTCCAACGAATTTTACGACGAAAAATTTTTTGTTGGAAATTTCCAACGAATTTTACTTTTCGTTGGAAAATTTGTCGCAAATTTGCAACGAAAATTTTTTCGTCGCAAATTTTCGTGGCAAAAATCCAGTTTTTTTGTAGTGCAGATAGTCTCCCCATGATTTATATCCCTATCAAGGATAGGATTAACAATGACCACGTCGTATTTTTTTGCTACATCCTGAAGAAACCTTGTTGAGTAGCTGAACTTCAGTCGTTCAAGTCTGAAAAGGACAAACCAAAAACGTATAGCTCAAGGCAAATGGCATCATCCGTGCTTCCTAGATTAAGATTATTTAGTTCAGTAGCCGAACTTCAGTCGGTCAGGTCCAATTGGAGAAACCAAAAATGCATAGCTCAAGCTTCATGGCGTGACTAACCTGCAAGCATAATATGTTCACTCCTGAAGAACCTGCAGCATCTATCGTTAGTTTTTACTTTATGATCCAGAAGGGGAGCAATTGTGACGAGAACTATAGAGTTTCAAATAAGCCCAAACCTGACAATGCACGGTTCCTTAATAACTCCTTGTCTGCCGTAATGCAAAATGCCTGAAAGAAAATCAGAATAGATTGATCGAAAAGATTCCACAAAACTGGTCAGAATGTATACAAGTTAAAGGATCCTGCCAAGAAACGCAGGAAGCAAAGCAAGGGTTTTCCAGCAAAGAATATGTAAGAGTGCTTCTCGGCTTCCATGATAGTAAGTTCAATCAACTAGAATAATTTGACTATCTCAAACTTTGCTTGCTTCTCCATTCCGTTGGTTCACCAACTCCAAAGAATAATCCCAGCATGGTACAAGACTATATAAATAAGATCTTCTCCCAACTTCCATCTCATGGAAAAACTCAGAACCAAGTATCCATTGCTAATACAGATTTCAGAAGAGACTCATTTCCAGGACTATGCTCCTCAAGACCTCCCTAATGACAAGTTCCCAGTATTGCCAAGGGACATCCTAACCAGACATCTGCAATTCTTTGCTTTTAAACATATATTTCCCCAGTTAGGACAATATAAATGTATCCCAGTGATATGATTTTCTATGGTCCCTACTCCTTTATCTATCACTGACGTGAAAGGCTACTGAGTTATAAAGAGAAAACTCCCTATGCCCCTTCGCAAAGAAACGCTACTGAGTTATAAAGAGAAAACTCCCTATGCCCCTTCGCAAAGAAACGAGGAGGCACACATTGGAAGATCTTTGCTCATGTTCCTCCGAGAACTGCCAAACATTTGTTCGCCAGTTAGTCAAATAAGGATCCGAAATGCCCAATTAGTCTCAAGTAAGAACTGAGTTCGCCAGTTAGTCAAATGCTTACCGGCGTGACTTTTTCGGCAACCGAAACAAGGGTATTTGTCAAAAAAATTTGAATAAAATGAAAAAATCCCTAATTTTGTGAATGAAGGTTGAGAGCTGAACGTAGTGCTGCCTGAGCGAGGACCGCTGGCACCGGCGGCGGCGGGGACGGCTTGCGACCGGCGGCGGCGTACGACCAATGGCGGCGGCGTGCAAAGGGTGAGGGATTTTGAACAAACTAAAAGGAAAACCTCATCCTACGATTCGCACAACCTTCGCTCCCAATTCAACAATAAAATGAACGAAGGGATTCTTAAAGTGTTGCCCGAGCGAGGGCCGGTGGGTGCTGGCGGCGTGCGACTGGGCGGCGGCGTGCTGGGCAGCGGCGTGCAACTGGGAAGCGGCGTGCGACCGGGAAGAAAGCTCAGACACTGTTCCAACCATGGCCGATTCGAGCCATTTCTCAAGGTCTTTGCTTCAAACCCTCCTCTTACAAAAAAATCTGAGCCATTTCTCAAGGTATCTGGAATTAATTGGTACTCCATTAATCAAATTCGTCATTTCCTCCACCAATTCTTGCAACTCCTTTTAAATTGACTCTGACTCATTCGGCTAAATTTCTCTCTCTCTGTTGGCCTTTTTTAGACTCGCACTTATCGGTGGAGCTTTGTTCTGAATGATTCTTGAAAAGATCTCTTTTCATGTCTTGGATATGATTTACAAGCTCATAATATCGTGCAATGCTTGTGGGATCTTCGTTTCTTCGGCTATGGTTGTGATTGAGCTCGCAAAGATGGGCCATCGAAGTGCGTGTTATTACATCCATCGTTTGTCTCCCTCTGTGGATGACATCAAGGGTATGGTAATCTTCATTTTTGGTATTTTATTAATCTCTTGGTTTGTATATTTTCAATGCCGAGAATATCTTAAAGTTGCTATGGGAACCTATCTGTGCACATTTTCCTTGTTATGCAATTGAATATATTGCATATAGCTGTGTTGAGAAGATTTATTATGTTGGGATGTTTGGGATGTTTCTCTTTTCCATCAAACAAGTCAGTCTACATGGGGTCCTGTTTCTCTTTTTTGGCATGATAAGGGACATGAGGATGCAAAGCGAATAGTTGAAGCTGTGAAAGGTAAAGGTGCATCTGCAATTGGGGCTGCTGGTTTTTGTTGGGGAGGTGAGTAGCTTTGTTCTGAACGATTCTTTGAAAGATCACTTTTCAATGCCAATAATATCTTAAAGTGGTTGCAGGAACCTACCTGTGCATATTTTCATTGTTGTGCATTTGAATTATATTGCATATGGCTTGCATAACAAATAAAAGTACGTCCTGATGGCTTGGAAAGTTGGAACATACAACTATACATATATGATTCTCTGCTCTTTGTAACCTCTGTGAAATAAACATTTGCACAGCCCACAAGATACTAAAGTTGCAATGCTTTATTTACCTCGACGCATTTCCAGGACAACTATTGCAAGATCTGATGAGCCTACGTTAACAAGGCATCACTATAACTTGTCAGCTTCGTCGGTTTTGCACCTTAAGACTCCAATGGCCATATTAGGAGCTGAGATAGACCGTATAGAACTCCTGAAGCAGTTTGAAGAGATTCTAACTACCAAATCCGAGGTGAGATTGAGATGATTCACCTATGGTTCTCGAATTCATGCACTTCTATTTACTTCCCAATTGGGAAGTTTGATTTATGCGATCCTCTTGGAGAGTTTGCTTTGCCACATGGTAGTAGAGATTATGTATGAATATAAGACTGTTTCACATGTTGATGCTGGAGTGAAGATATTTCCAAAAGTTTCCTATTGGTGGACTGTTAAGTACGATGTTGCTGATGAAGAAGCGGTGAAGTGAGCCGAGGAGGCATATTTGGATATGCTAGAGTGATTTGCGAAGTTTTTCAAGTGAGGGAAGTGTCTGGCATGTGACAACTTCTTATGTAATAAAGTCGATGCTGTTTACTTTCTACATTCTGTGATTCCAAGAAAATGAAGAAAGCTTGTGGGGATTGTGTTTTCTGTTTCTGCATCTCAACTCGAGTTCTACCATAAAGAGTAGACGAAATAGAATCTCTCCCCATCAATGCTTGTATTCTATTTATAATGGTTTGGTAATGCTTGAGTAGGACTTAGGATGAACTTACACCGAGTTTTTTCGCGTTCTGCTTCCATGTGAAAGGATGAATTCACGCATAGCTCACTGTTTTAGTCAAGAACTATATTTACAATGCATTATGACCCTCAAGGCCTCTTCATTTAGCATTCTTACTCCAAAACTTTAAAAACTTTTGTTTTTTTTTATGTGGGTGCAAATTCAGCTTTGCTTGTCTTGTAGTCCATTTACTTGCAACCGCACATTCAGAAGATTTATATCACTAGATTCAAAAAATTATACACCAAGGTTTGTCATGTTAGCGGAACAATGAGTTGGCAAAGAAAAGTCAGCATCTTGCACTAATCCTAAGTTCAACGTTGGAAGTTGCTATCCACTAAGGAACACTCCCGAAAGAGGATCAAAGTAAAGGGACACAAAAGTTATGTTTTTCACATTCATAACAAGCAAAAGAAAAAACGGTGAAGAGCTTCGATGGATTGCATGACATTGAAAGAATCATGGAGGAGCAAGCAAGTTGCGGTGGATAGGGGTGTCAATGGGTTGGGTCGAGTTGGGCTTTCCTTATACCCAACCTGACCCGAAACCTACAGGGTCATGCTTGACCTGCCTAGACCCACCTGAGACCCTATGCACCGTACACCCCAAGGCCCGGGCCGGGATGGGCCGAGTTTCGAATTTTTATTTTTATTTTTTTTGCGTAGATAGAATGGAATTGTGAACCCGCCGCAAATATAGAACCGAATCATCAGATGACTAACCAGGTTAGGTTGGTTCTGTTCTCTTGTTTTTTCTTTTCATATGCACAAGACGGAAAAATGATAATAAAGACAATTTCCAACACTACGCCAGAATCTCTTTTCTTCCCACTCTCACTGCGTGATTACCATCGCAGAACAAGTTTTGTAGTACAAAGTAACTAAAAAAAAAAGAAAAAAACTAAAACAATACCATCGCAGAACAAGTTCTGTAGTACAAAGTAACTAAAAAAAAAAAGAAACTAAAACACATTAACGAACAGCAATGACTGGAATTTTTTCACTCCTAAGCAAGACTGGCTTGCTTCCAATTACTAATACATCATCATGGGTCGACATTCCAAAGACAAAGCTAGTGCAAAAGGGTTGGACTCATAATTTCTTTTCCCCGTCGACACAGTGTCGCCTGAAAGTGGATAGACGTAGCGTATTAGTATGACACAGGCTTGATCAATTCAAAGCGTGAGAGACAATTCTCATTATACAGAGAGAGAAATTGTTGAAAAATCACTTACCACTAACGAGAAGTCAAGGACAATGCTCATTAATCATAAGACAAAATGGAAGCACTGAATCTGAAAAGAACAATATCATGTAAATGCTACTGAGAAATTTCATCCTAAAAGGTAGCATTATGTTAAGCAAATTTAACTTGTTATCATCAGGAATTGAAGGCACCACATGAGAGTAACACATAATATGGAAAATTTCAAAAGCAGCATCACAAATTTAATTTCTTTGATTGGAAGATAAGGCTGGGTTACTAACAACACCCAGCACATTCTGGAATCCAAAATTTCCTCGAAAAGAAAAATAGAACGAACACAACAAAGCAAATAGGAACAGCATTGGAGGAAATCTGGTAATGTATTTAATTATATTACCACTTGTGCAAGTAGATGGCCAAACAGAAACCCAAAGTTCACTTCATCGACATATAAATATGCAGACAAAATACTAACAGAACAGCGACATGGATCATAAAGCTTTCAGAGCATGAGTCTTCCCCTCACCGTGGTCATCAATAGAAGGAAATAACAATAAGCAATTTCTTAGCATACAGATATTGAGCATACTATCATTAATAGATAAAGCACAGCCAGTCAAAGACCTCTCGGCAAAGATCTAAAGCAAGCTGAGCTCTAGTTGCTGCCTCCCAAACAATGGCTTATAAAGACAACTAGTAACACTTTACGTGCACATGTATTGTTCATATGGTAAATTAAAACAACGAGGACATTAAAACTGACAAGTTACCTAAAATGGCAATCTCCAACTTCATCAATCATCTAGAGAAATTGATATTGAGTTTGGCTCCATGGTTGTAGTTAACAACTCTACATTAAATTCACGATGAAAATGAGGATTAACGTATCCATTGAAACATAAAAGGGTGTTAATATTCTACAACCATATTTTTTCACCTGACTCAAAGTCTAAGTCCTCTTCAATCGAACGTGAAAGTGGCGCGGATCGTAACCAATCTTGAGCACATATAAGAGCCTCCACCATGTTTGGGGTTAAAGAACTACGAAACACATCAAGCACACGACCTCTTGTGTTAAATGCAGCCTCTAATGCTACAGTTGAGACGGGCACGACCAAAATATCTCGAGCAATGAAAGAAAGGATAATATATCTTGAAGAATTATTTTCCACCAACTTAAGATATCAAACTCAACGCTATAACGTTCACATCCTTCCTCCAAATACTTGTCCAATTCAGATTTTTCTTCCAAATATTGTTGTCTGGTTTCGCTACGATACATTGCATTCATAATATTAGCACCAACCATCGGAGACTTTGACACGTTAATCATCCTTGTGCTCTTTAGCCTCAAGTTGCTTTGGGGGCATACACCAGTGCGGTATTGCTCGAACAAAGACGTCAGAGATGTTATTACTTTATCTTGTAAAGTTTCCGCTTGCTTGCTTTCATAAACACGATTAATCATCCACTTCACATATTCCCACTTATGCCGCGGGTCAAGTATGCAAGCAATGAACAAAGTAAGATTGATACTGTTCACATTGCCAAAATACTTATTGAATTTGATCCTCATTCTCTTAGCCATTTTCTGTAAAGTTGGGTCCTCATTTTCACAACATCTGTCAATCATGATATAAATCCCATACACATCCTTCGCCATATCATTACTAGTGACATAAGAAGAACCCGAAACTTTTAAAGTAGTATCAAAGAACAACTTCAGAAAAGGAAGAAAGTGACGGGCATACTCCCAATCATCATTAGTGGGCAATCCTTTCACCTTGAAAAGGTCTTCAACAAATTTGCCATCTTGAAATTCCAATGAGCTAAAAGCTGTTTGAAACTTCAAAGCTGCTTCCAACATTATATATGTCGAGTTCCAACGAGTCTCGACATCCAAACATACAAGACTCTTGGACTCAATTTTCTCTAGCTCAATACAACCTTTAAACCGTCTCTACCTCGCAGGAGAAGACCTCACATAACATACGGCCGAACGTATTCTAACAATCGAATCATTTATGTCTTTCAACCCCTCTATCACAATCAAACTCAATATATGAGCACAACACCTCATGTGGAGCAACTCACCTCTCAATACTAGAGAATTCCGAGAGTTAAGTCTCTTCTTCAAATATTAAATTCCCAAGTCATTTGAGCTAGCATTATCTACGGTGATAGAAAAAATGCTTTGAATCCCTCAATCAATCAAGCATTTCTCAACCGTTTTTCCTATTATCTCGGCAAAATGACCTGGGATTTGACAATAATTTAATATTTTCTTATGCAACTTCCAATCGGCATCAACAAAATGAGCAGTGAGACACATATAGCTCAAATTTTGACAAGAAGTCCATGTGTCTTTTGTAAGACACACTCTTTGACATGTCTCCAAGAAATATTTCTTCAACTTGCTTCTTTCATCCGTGTATAAATCATAACATTTGCGCCTCAAAGTGTTGAGCGACGGGATTAAGAAATTTGGCTGGATTTTATTCACAAATCACCGAAATCCCTCATAGTCTACCAACTTAAAAGGCAATTCATCAAGAATAAACACGATCGCTAACTCTTTTTCACTATCATCTTGGTCAAATTTCCAAGGACCCGAGTCACTTTTTTGCCTTTTCTCAACATTTGCATATTGGAATTCCTTACATCTAGCTAAATGACGATGCATCGAACTGGTCCCTTGACCACTAGCACAACCAATACAGGCCCCACAGTATATACATTCAGCCTTTTCTTCATCAAGAATATGTTTAAAGTGTTCCCATACCGAAGATCTCGTCCTTCTTTGTGTGACACTAGAAGCACTTATCTCAGACATTTAGCAATCCTTCTATCTATGACACTTAGAACCTAGAAAGTATTACTATAATTAGAAATGTAGTCCTCAACATACTCTTGACAAATAAAAATGGTGTAGTAATGCCTTCTACAGTTCATTTATTTGCCAATATATTTACCAACTAGGTTCGAGAGCAGATAAACCATGCAAATCTAAAAAATCTGAAGTAAGAAAGTCTTAGGTAAACCATCATCATAGAACTTTCTGTTGTTAATTGAACAAAAAAACTGACCAGATTTTGGTGGAAAAAGATTAAATGTTCTATTATTCCAGGTCACTAAGTTGCTGATCGATGTTGAAAATCCCTAGCAAACCCTTAATACGGCCCAGTGCAATGGGGTACAACCTAACAACACACAATACAAAAAAAGTACCACATTAGAAACAATGACTACTCCCATTCTTAGCATTAAAAACTTGATTTGATCGAATAAAGTGCAAAACCTAATACAACATGCCAAAATCACAACATCTTCTAAGATTATCCAACAGAAGTGCTCATGGGTTTTATACATAGATCTGAGCTACTGATAAACCATCTCATCATGAGGACCAACAAAATAGAAGTAAGATAGCAGCTAAGAAATCTCAACAAGTTCATATATCATTTTAAAAACATTGGGTTACAAGCTAATTCTAGAGTCTTACATTTGCTGAAGGAACCAAACTAAATAATATCTTCCGCAAATCGGACAACAGAAGACCTACCTGTAATTCACAATTAGTAAGCCGAATCCAAGTGAAGACAGAAAAGCCTCAGACTTTGAAAAACTTGAAGTGGAGACACAATGTGGCCCACCATGAAGGATCATGATTAATGGATCAGGCACGTCGTTTTTCAATTTTGATGATACAAAAATTGCCTCAAAGTGGTTTGTAGCACCTGTAATATATCAAGTACACGGACCATGAAAAGCAGTATTTTATTATAGTCTTAAGATGAGATCTTAGACATCTGAAATGGGAATGAAAAAGCTACTGGTTATCACATTTAAAGAACTCATTTGGCCTCTGGCATGCTATACCAAAGGAACAAGTTAAATCGAAGTATGAGATATGAATTAACTAAGTTCTATTAAGATTTTTCACTTCTTCTGACACACAATTCAACTCGAGATACTACTATAGAAAAGTCAGTTTCCCCATCCAGTAGCCTTTCTGATCCCCAAGGCCCCCAGGTACTATATCTAGAGTTCCCTAAGTCCATCTCGAAAAAGATACTAACTCATCTTGCAAGTTGCTCAACTGATTTCTTACTCTTTCCTTTTAATTCTAGCTCTTTCTGTGCATATGATCAACATATCATCCAAGCCTTCGTTCGACTATAAGAAATTAGTTAGCATTATGACCGGGAATCCCCGGCCAAATCCTTCGCCAGCCACACAATCGACCTCTGCACGATGTCTGAGCCCAGCGCCTCCCAGCTCCGGACTCTGTCGCACCCGGATCCGGTCCTCAGCGCGCATACAGTTCCATATACACGAAAGCATCGGTGAATCAACTTTTTGCTAGAGAGCGAGTGGAAATCAATGGATAAGGAAAGGGACGGAAGAATTTATGACCAGGAAAAATCGGAACTCACCACCCCCAACGGGCATGTCAGAGGGGGGACGAGGAGGTCTTGGTTTCCTCAGATTCCCACAATACCGTGAAAAACCTCATCCAAGACGAAGCCAATTTCCACAATTCCAAGAAACGAACGGCGAAATTAGCAAATTTCAAGAAATTTTTCATGGAGCAAGAAGCACAGATGCGACAGCTTCACGGCGGAGAGAGATCGCTCACCTGCTTGTTTGGTTGCTGAGGCTTGCAGAAGAACCTTGAAGCTGTCGCGAAACGACAAAGGGAAGCGAACGGCGATGGAGGCGATCGGTTTCGTCGCCGATCGGAGAGAGATCTAGGGTTTTTTCTTCACGCTCTGCACAGTGCGTGTAGAGAGGGGAGAGAGAAGGGAAGAGAGACTGAGAGAGGGAGATGGGTCAGCCCATAGTGTCAATGGGTCGACCCAACCCTACCCCAACCCTAATGATACCCCAAATTTTAGGGCCGAGTCAGGCTAGCGCGGTCCAACCCGGGCCTGAGCGGGTTCTGTTGACACCCCTGGCGGTGGATATCCAAAAAATGTGCCTTCATTCCACAAAAAAATGTGCCTTCATGTAAGAGATTATAATAAGTAACGAACTGCTTTAATAAGGAGGCAAGACCCAATTGCTTACAAGTAATGTGGAAATTTCCAAACTGGACCGACTGATTATACCTTAAAATAAAACAGTTGGCCAATGACTCATGAACAAAGAGACCAGAAGAAAAAAGGAGACTTTAATGGTTCAACTTCATGAGGAATCTTCCTTTCATTGTGGTTGAAGTCAATATGTCTTATACAATACCAAAAGTACGTATATACGCATACATCTAGCAAGCATTCCTCCTCCACTAAGTGACTCAGTGGTAAACCTTCAAGTCCCTTCCTTTGCTCCGGAAAGATGAAAGTGAGAAACACAATCCTGGTGCTGTAAAATTTCAAATGGCATGGAAGTAAGTTACTCGAAAAAGAATATTGTTACGCAACAAGAAAACTAGCCTTCATGGAGCAAATCACTTGCACTAAAGTTACCACCCGGAAGAATGATCCTGTAAAAAACCTATAAATAAGCATGACATCTTTAGTGTCTTGTAGGCTGTGCAAATGTTTATTTCACCAAATAATCATATATGTATAGTCATACAAAGTGTTGTTCCAACTTTCCAAGCCATCAAGACATACTTTTTATCCGTTATGCAAGCCATATGCAATGTAATTCAAATGCATAACAATTAAAATGTGCACAGATAAGTTCCTGCAACTACTTTAAGATAGTATTGGCATTGAAAAGTTCCTGCAATACAGACAGTATTGGCACTACTTTAAGATAGTATTGGCAATATAATTCAAATGCATAACAAAGAATCATTCATAACAAAGCTACTCACCTCCCCTACAAAAACCAACAACCCCAATTGCAGATGCACCTTTACCTTTCACAGCTTCAACTATTCGCTTTGCACCTTCACATCCTTTATCATGCCAAAAAAGAGAAACATCCAAATTTTCTAAACACAGCAGACCTATACATTGAGATGCTTCCAAAATGGACTCATTTGGACTCATCCATGTCAACTAATAGTAAAAGAAAAAAGAATTTGTGTTCTTGGTCTTGCATATCTCAAAAAATTGCTCGTCTTCACATCCTCCTTTTTACCTACAGTTGAATCAAAAATAAATAATTAGTCAAAACAAAGTCAAGCACAAGAAGAATACTTTTATGACAAAGTCAAGCATAGATGGATACTTGCATCTTCTCTCTTCCCATAGATGATATTGAGCTTGAAATGTTGTTAAAAAATGACACAAGCAGTTCAACTGTCTCAGTTTGTGATGTTGGGGCTAAGGGAGTGCTTTCTACCGCATCTTGTGAGCATGAGGCGGATGTAGAAGTTGTTAGGGCTGATGATGTTGCTGCTATTGTCGTTGTTGATGCTACTGATTGATTCTTGCAATAATATCTGTTATGGCCTAACCCACCACATTTTCCACAAGTGATTGTGGTGTTCTGTCTCTTTAACTTTGTTCCCACGGGCTCTCGCACAGCTTTATTCTTCCTTGTCTTTAAATTGCTATCAGCAACTTCATTCATCAACTTTGTTCTTTGTTTCTTCTTTCTACCAATTTGCTTAGGCACATCTGGTGGGAGTAAATGCTCTCTAGCAGGCTATATGTTCTTAGAATCTACAGTATGCACAACATGGCTATAAGTTTGCTTGAATTTTTCCATACTAAAACACGTGTGAACCAATTTTTCAGGTTGTTCCCTCAGGTATACAAGAGCTGCCACATCATGACAACAAAGGATTCCACTAATGTCCCATATTCTATAGCTACAAGTTCTGTGTCTGATATTAACAATCCTCTTGTCTCCATATGGCCCACTCAATTCAAACTCATTCTCCCCATTCCATGTAGGAATCCATGATGCTGAATACTTTTTTTGAAGATCCAATATCTCTTGAATCTTAAGACAAATCATACCAGAATACTTAGCCAACCCATCCCTTTGCTTATGAATCCTCTCCATGAGTTACATTCTTATGGCTTCAAGCAATGTGATTATAGGCTTGTCCCTAGTGTCAATGATGCTCTTGTTGAAACTTTCACACAGGTTATTCAAGGAAGCGTCGCATTTCGAACTTGTCCTAAAGTGGGACTTGCTCCATTGCACCGGTGGCCTTTGGAACAATCAATCATAAGCTTTTCTATCAACTGCCTTAAGCTCTTCCATTGCCAAGTCAAAATCACATACCCTAGTGGCCATGGCAGCCTTCCAAACCAAAATTTTAAGTTCTAGTCCTTTGTGATGTAGCCTAAAGTTCTCGTAAAGATGCCTCAAGCAAAATCTATTTTCTGCTTCAGGCATTAGATTTGCTAGTGCTTGCACCAATCCTTTTTGCTTGTCACACAAAAAAGTCCAGTACTTTGAATTTGCAGGGTCTGTACTTCCCAAATCTTCGACAATCATACTAATAAACCATTGCCATGTCTTGTATGTTTCTTGTCCAACGATTGCCCATGCAAATGGATACATCTGATCATTTCCATCTATGCCAACAGCTGCTAGAAGAATGCCCTTGTAGCCAGATGACAAGTGGCAACCATCAAACCCCATAAAGCACCTACATCCTTCTAGAAAACCCCTCCTCAATGCATCCAGACATATGTAGACTCCTCTAAACTTGAATTGGTCTTGACATTGCTCACTCTTGATTACACAGGTGGATCCCGGATTGGAATCAAGAAGTGCTTGGCAATAACTTCTAAGCATCCAAAATTGCTCATCTTCATTCCCTGTAATCATACTCATTGCTATAGCCCTAACTCTATAGACCATTGTCTTGGACAGCTTCAAAACATTCTCTGACTCCATTGCTTTCTTCAGTGAAGCATCCGACCATGTTGGATTATTCCTCAACCTATCACAATACTTGTTTGCCAACCATTTAGAGCTTACTTGAGGAACATGTAGTGCTCTATTACATGTATGCACGGGGTTAAAGGTTTTAACTTGTAAAGTATGCTCCCTCTGCACTTTGGAAGCATATATGAGCCAATCACAACCGTTAGAACACACTGCTCTTAACTTCTTAGATGTATTCTTAGTGAACCTCACTCGTCTCCCATTTTTTATGGCGTGATTCCTAACTGCTTCTCTAAACTCTTTAGCATTGCTAAAGAACATCCCCAACTTGAAGACAAGATTCTCCATATCAACCTCAGCATTGAACTCAGGATGTGTATACTCAACTGGACTACTCATATTCATGAAATCTACATTATCAGATAATGTATCTACATACAAACTAGTCTCTCCAACCTCCATACCCCTCCCCATTGAACCTTCACCGTCAGTACATCGTACATTTCTTCTGTATAATTCATCAAGATCAGTAATGTCAAACCCATCTTCTTCAATCCCATCAACACACCTACTATCAGACATGGTATAGTTCACTTCTTCACACCCCTCGCCTGGTGCAAAATGGAAGCAAAAACAATCAATATGTTTCCAAATCCATATATAAATTAAACAGAATCATACCAACTTAAATCTATACACAAAGGAAACACAATTTGCAATCACAACATATTCAAAAGAACCTGTCCGTAGCGTACAAGTAGGGACAAAATAAAGCCTTATACAAAGTAATGTAAGGACGAAAATTGTTATCATTTGCAACATTTGGAAACAACTTTGATGGAAACTTTAAATGTGATAATGAAACCAGTCCATAAATTGAAAATTTTATTTGAGACTGGTCCATAATTTAGACCACGATTACAAATTGCTTAGAGTGGAATACTCGCAGTTAGCATTCCAAATTGAGCATGTCTACTCCGCATGAAGCAAACCCAATACATCTTTTCACATAATTTTTTTAGAAGCCATGCATATTATCAAGACAAATTAAATCGTGGTTTAATAAAAAAAAATGGACCAATTTAGGAAACTGATATCCATGGAAACGAATTTAAGAAGGGACAAAACAAACTCTCGTAAAATTTAAAAATGGGCTTTGCATGAAATCTAATATAAAGAAACTCTAGTCCACTTCCACAATTTAAGAATGGGGTTCATGCAATAAATGATAAAACATGAGATAGTGGGTTCATGAAAACAGTAAAAAAAATTGAAAAGTTGGGATCACAGAGGACGTGAAGGGACCACAACTTATTCCTTTACAAATTACAATCAGAAAATGCACTATAAATAATCAACTCACTGTCGTCGCTACCATTACTTTCGTATTCTACGACATGCCCACGCCTTGTCAACATGTTACTTCAAATATTGCAATCGCCTTCTTTTGGACGAGGGAAAGACAAGTTGAACCAATTTAGGAACTGAGAAACGAAAGAAATTTGAAGATTAGAAAAATTAGGGTTTCAAATCAAAGCTCCAATTTGGAAAACTAATCTCGACGGATTCACCCAACGAAAGACACGAATGCTTTGTGTGAATCGTAGGAGAGGTTCTCCGCTGAGGTGAATCCTTCAATTCTTGTAGCTGTAGAAGATGGGTGAAGGAAAGATACGATCACCCTGTCACACGTCGCCGCCGATTGCACGTTGCTGACCGGTCACACACCGCCGGTCACACACCACCGGTCACACACCGCCTCAGTCTTTCAAGTCATCCCTTTTCGCTCTTCAAAGTGGATTGAGGTTTTTCTTTTTATTAGAAGTGGGTTGGGGTTGGAAAAAGAAAAACGCAAGTTTTGTTTTTATAAAATTGCCTTTTCCTTTGATTCATATTTTATTTGGACAAAACTGCCCTTATTCCGATCGTCGGAACAGTCATGTGCTAGCCGGCCGGCCGGTCAGGAGAGTGTTTGACCGGCCGGCAAGCTCAAGCTCCAAATTGTGACTGATTTAGGCACTTAAGGCCCTTATTTGAGACTGATTGGGCATTTTAGGTCCTTATTTGATACTATGTCCATTTTGGACCCTTTTTTGAGAAAATGACCCCACTTTGTGCCCTTATTTGGAATTTTCCCTTAAATTTTGATGGACATATACAATAACAAATTAGATATTTCAAGAAAAAGAAACACACTAAAAAGGAAATTATGTCCTCAACTCGCGAAGGGAAAATGATCAAGCGACCCAAGATGGTACATTTAAACATCCTTTATCTACCGTTTAATATTATCATCCGATACTCATTTTTCTATTATTAGAATTTCAGCTAATTTAGTTTTCTCCCATTTCCTTTAATTTTTAATTTTTTAAATCAATCAAAGGTCAAGGAGATATTTCCATAACAAAAAATAATTGTGAAAATATGCCATTATCTATGCGCATTGCATATGCTGACGGAAAAAAAGTTATCTGAGACAGTTAACGGCAATAACAAGACGAATATTTGGCGAGGATTGTGGTACAGTCGAAAGTTTAGGCAAGAGTTAATGACCATGACATAATTTGTGATCAAATTTTCTTTTCACACTCTATTCATCGAGCGATGAATGTGTACATCAGTTCTTACACCGTCGGGTGAACCTAACGATAACAACGATAATAATAGTAATAACAATAAGTCCAAAGGTGTCACCATTGGAATTCGCCCGATTCGATTAAGACAAACGGTAGGTCCGCCCGTGCAAGACGTAACATGCGAGACGCGAACTTTTGAACTCGCATCGGAATCAATGCTCGCCCCCTCCATCACCCCCTCTCGCTCCACGCGCTCCTCCCGCCTCGTGCCCATAAACGCGCTCCGCGATTGGAGCGTGTTTCCCACGCGACGTCCGCGCGAGCGGGCTTGGGAAGTGCCCCCTCGCCATCCCCCGTCGGGCTATATTATTGTTTAGGTTAAGCTCCTGCTCGAATAGGAAAAGCCCACGATTCACATGGAGGCCGAAGACAAGAGGAGAGACAAAATCCCTTCTGCCTGGCATCGCTCACGCGCGCGCGCGGCGCGTGGGGGAACAGCTCGCGGGTCCCCCCTACTCGCGGAGAAGACGTTGAAATCCATGGCCCCGCCGGGGGCCCCCACACCAATCAATTCATGATTAGACTTTCCCAGCGAAATTGAGTCAGCGTTCTTAAATCTGTGGGTTGACTCTCTCTCTCTCTCTTTTTATTTTTATTATTCATTTCACATTCATTTGAATTTTTTTCCATCTGAAAATCTTCTTGTCAATTTTACGTGCGTTGCACTCTAAAATACGCTTTTGATAATGAGTTATTATAGTCTTATTGCAACGCTGCCTATTTCTTGTCTTATGTTTTTTTTCCATGGATAGCTAACGTGACCTATGATCCGTTTGATAAGTCATGTCGACCGCAAAATGTTGAAATACCGCGGCACATGCTTGGCGCTGCACCTGCAGTTGTGGGTCCGCCACAATAGCAAAAGCTGCCATATAAGTAGCCGGATCGATTTTTGCTAACAAAGTGACGTAAATATTGTCATAGGAATCAGATTTCAACGATCCAAATTTATTATCCAAGTGAAGTAATAGCGAACCGATTCTTACCCCCAATGGGAATATGCCCTATTGCAAGTCGCCTGACATGACCATCATCAAAGCAGATAGTAAATCAATAAACGGCTTTGTTAAAAAAGTGTAAGAAAACATTGCAATACAAAAGTGCTTTGAAAATTGAATAATTCCTTATTAAATATGCTTAACAAGCACCATGAAAGCACTCGGTTAACAAGACCCGGTAATAATTATCGCCGGAAGTAAATTTGGTAGAGTTGGACTGATCATTGTGATGGTAGTAATATTGTCATGTTTAGTATCCTTAACAAATGTCTTTAATATTTCACATTGAAATGAGTAGTGCTCTAAAAATTGAATTTTTTCCCATTAAATTTTTGTCTTGCAGATATAAAATTTAATTAATTCTAATGTATGTAGACCAAATTACAATTCATGTAAGAGAGAGAGAGAGAGAGAGAGAGAGAGAGAGAGAGAAAGGTCGCTGCTTTCTACCTATTCACGCTCGCACTCCACGGTGCGGATTCTCTCCTCCGCTCCACTCCACTTCCACTTCACTGCGCCCCCGCATAAGCATCGCACCCGCAGGCCCCCCGCGCCTCACGCGCCGGCTCCCTTCGACCCCGCTCCGCTTCCGGCCACCACGAACAATGGCGCCGCACCTCGCTTCCCTCTTGCTCGGCTCTCTCGCGCTCCTCCTTTGGCGGCTCCCGGTGGCAATGTCGGGTCAGTTCCGCTTCGCCGATGCATCGTTTCTCTAGGTTTTTCTTGCCTCCGTTTCTCGCGGTCGGTGAAGCTCTCCGTTGCGAACGTCGCTTTTCTTGCGAGTGAAAATTCGTGGCCATAGGACCTTGTCTTGGTGCGTTTGCTTGTTTTTGCTTGAGATAATTTGGTGGGTTGCTCTCTTTTGCTCTGTTTTGTCATTTTTTATCGCTGTTTTTTGGAACGGGACTCTTGTTTCATTGAGGGTCCTCGCGCAAGTACCTGAAGTATGATGCAAGTGTTTGGTATTTGGGTTGTACGGTCGATTTCTTTTCCTGCTGAACTTGGGAGCTGGCAATTGCTGTTGCTGCTTGTGCAGGGTGCCCTTTGGACTTAAGCGGATCGAATTTTACGTTGGTGGCTTCCTTGTGCTCTAACAACGACGACAAGGCTAAATGTTGCCGTTACATAAATGCATGCGTGGCGGTTTCCGTCGCTCGGTACACGAACACTACGGGCAATTTGGGAGTCGCCTCCGATGTAGCTGAGGTCTGCCTGGATTCGATATCGGAAACCTTGGAGCTGTATGGAGTGTCGAGGAATGCGGCGGCGTTCTGTGGCTTCGGGACGAAGATCCCCGTCAACTATGATTGCGTGGGCCGGACAAATGCAATGCAAATGCTGCAGTCCCCGGGATTTGGGGAAGTGACCATGAATTGCAGAGTGCCACTTTCAGCTGAAAGCAATTGCAGAAAGTGCGTAAATGCTGGCATCCTGTATCTGCATCATGTGGTAGGAACTGATGACAATATTACATTCAGCACTTGCCGAGATGCAACTTTCGCTGCCCTTGCAAGTCAAGTTGATTATATGTCTTCGGTCAACATTGCCACTTGTTTCTTTGGTGTTGAAGGGCTAAGTACTCTACCAGGTATGTGCAGCTATGAGAGAACAGGAGACAACTACATAGCATCCAGAAGCATTTGCTCCTACTTGGTTTGCACGAATTAAATGTCTTTGTTTCTGTTTATATTTATCGAATCATACTGTGTTTAACTTCATGTTTGCTGCCAATTTCCATCCTTGTTTCCCTTTTATTAAAGAGTCCACCTTTTAATATTAGCATGACCGGACAAAGCAAGATAATTTTGGGATGGGCATGTTGCATTTATAATGGAATTGATTATCACTCACTCTTTTCCTAAAACCTTACATGTTTCACAGTTTAGAGAATACCCAAATAGTTAGCAGGTGAGCAAGTTGTTGTCCAAAAGAGATATAGTAGTCCTATGGTAAAGTTGATCAAATCCTCTTATGAGGGTAGTACTAAAACAAATGTTCCAGTAGGTGATCAAGTAATGAGTTCCCTGTTTCGTTTTTGTTTATAGCAGGGATATAGTGAGAGGGTGTAAATTATTATCCAGTTAATGTGACAGACCGCTAGAAAGATCCTTAAGTTCAACTCGGTGTGTATCTGGGTTTAGTTTTCACTACTTACCGAAAAGGTTGTGTCAACTAGACGCGATTGGCCTGGACAATAATCTAACGCCCGTCAGGCCGGGCCCAGTTATTTTTTTGTCATTACCATCTGCGCGGGCAAGTCGCTCTCTTCTTTGGCCTGGGCACCCTGATCATTTTGTAGAAAATATATGAGGATTTTGTAGATCATGCGCAGACTTTGGCAATGGTTTTAATGCCCAAACCCTGGCTCAGCCCTCTCAACGATCAAATCTAGTCCACACGACTTCTATTTATCTTTGTCATTTTTTAAGCTTGTTAAGTTGCTACCGTTTGAGTTTCTTTTCCTTAAGTTCTCACTCTTCATGTGCTTAGTCGTGATTGGTAGCTGGCTTAGTTGGGTTGAAGTTCAAGCTCCAAAGAAATTCAAACATGATGGAAGCATTACAATGAAAGAGAGGATTTGTTTGGGCATTCAAAATTGCCTATTCTTTGGACTTCAAAATAATAATAATACTAATAAATGAAAAGGTGTTCTCTGACTTCCATTAAAAATATCATGGTAGCTCTAAATACCTGCTCTACTCATATTGCAATCCTTTCGCCTTCTTTATCTTATTTTATAGATATAGTCTACCACAGATGTATTTTGACTGTTTATATAGGACTGCCTGATGCTAACTTTCTTGACCATTCAAAACATGGAGGGAGTGCTACTCCATTTAAGTATGTTACTAGGATGTCTAAGCAATCTCGATGATTGTCATGAAAAAGCATTCTTCCTCTCTCCTTGATATAAAGATGGTTAATTTAATATCTTTCTCCTGTAGACACTGCTTCTATAGATTGGGATATTTCGACAAAGTTGCAGATTGACTAGCTTTTGCCCTTATCGCTGCATCTTTATTCTTTTTGGCTCTTATTCGTCTCGTGAGTTCTAATGTGTTGGAACATGTTTGAGACTTATAGTTTGAGGGAAACATTGCCTTTGATCTTTAATGCACTGAATGACGAAATTTTCCATGAATGCATCAGATTCTGTACTCGAGTTTTAAACTTATTGTTTTATTTTGTGCATGTGATGCTAGTTTCCAATTCATCGCAACCGTCAAACTCTCCTAAAGCTTCTCCAAGTCCTTTGGTTGCTGCTAGCCCGAGTCAACTGATACTCGGTGTGCCTTCGAATGAGACCCACCACCCTTACCACCTGACCCTAGTTCCAGGTGTTGGCATTGGTGTTACGGTAGTGGCTGTTTTGATGCTGGTTGTGTTGGTATTTCTGATTCGTAGGAAAAGCAGAGAGCTAGAGGACCCCGACGATATGGATATGACGTCTTCAAAGGTCTTCCCTCCTCCTCATTCTATGAAAAAGTTTCAGGATGGTACTCCTCTCTCTCTCTCTCTCTCCATATATACAGAAATGCCCACTATATGTTGCTCCTGATAAATTTTGGGCTTGCAGGTCAGTCATTGATGTTTCGGAAATTCAGTTATAAGGAGACCAATAAGGCAACTGATAATTTTAACACTGTCATTGGACAAGGGGGATTTGGAACTGTTTACAAAGCGCAATTTAGTGATGGTTTAGTGGTCGCAGTAAAGCGAATGAACAAAGTCTCAGAACAAGGGGAGGACGACTTCTGCAGGGAAATAGAGCTTCTTGCTAGGCTTCATCATCGTCATTTAGTTGCTCTTAGAGGATTTTGTATTGAGAAGCGTGAAAGGTGAGAAGGGAATCGGTTTTATTCATACCAAAGTCTTGTATTCCCCGTCCTCACCCCCCACCAACACATAACACACAACACCACATGTGCACTCACGCCTCACAAGCTGATGACTCAATTACTGTGGGTCATCTTCTGCTTGCATGCACACGTGTACACATCTACACAATGACTGGGTGAGTGGTTCTGCATTCATGTGACACATTTTAACCGGAGTAATTAATCGATTTCAGCTCTCTGCAGGTTTCTTATGTATGAATACATGGCAAATGGAAGCTTGAAAGATCATCTTCATGGTACACATGTTTTTCTTCCACTGATTTTATGGATCTCTCTCTCTCTCTCTCTCAGCATAGGCACAATCTGACGCACCCATGTGCACATGCTAAGATGTACGCAGACTCATAAGTGCAAACTTGTTGAGCAAAATCATGAGCCAATCACTTAACATTTCTTACCGTGTATTGCATATTTAGGTGATGCTTTCATTGAAGTTGTTCTTACGCTGCCATATGAACACATTCATAGAACCACTAGGCTATTTTGTTTTAGGGTTCCTTAGTCGTCGCGTTGTTGACTTATCCATTGTGTGCAGCACCTAACAGAAATCCTCTGAGTTGGCAGACAAGGATCCAAATAGCTATTGACGTGGCTAATGCTTTGGTAATTTTGAAGTTTCTTGGTCTTTTTAGCTATTTAACTGTTTCTTATCAATATCTTAGGCTTCGAAATTTTATATTATCAATGCAGGAGTATCTCCATTTCTATTGTGATCCTCCCTTGTGTCACAGAGACATCAAGTCAAGCAACATTTTACTCGATGAGAATTTTGTTGCCAAGGTAGGATAGTTCTGCGAAAGCGACTCTTTAATTAAATCTTAGCTCCCAATATACATTAGACCAAGTACACTAGTAAAATCAGACATCCTTGATGCAGTCGTTGCAAGCTGCTAAGTAGCAGGAAGCCAGGGACTTCCTTGACATATCAAATTGACTGCTTCTGGTGACTTTTCTCATTTCTTGTCGTCTTTGAGTCTAGGTTGCTGATTTCGGTCTTGCACATGCTTCAAAAGATGGGTCAATTTGCTTTGAACCAGTAAATACTGATGTACGAGGAACTCCAGGTAAAAAAAGCTGCCCTTTGGTTAATTATCTGCATCGTTTTAATCAATATCTAAGCCGTAATGTTTCCCAGGTTACATGGATCCTAAGTATGTAATCACTCAGGAGCTCACGGAGAAGAGCGATGTCTACAGCTATGGCGTTCTATTGTTAGAGATGCTAACAGCAAGACGGGCTGTACAAGATGGCAAGAATTTAGTGGAATGGTCTCAAACATATCTGACATCTACTCTAGCAATAACTGAGCTTGTGGACCCCAGAATTAAGGACGCCTTTGATTTCGACCAGCTTCAAACCATAGTGAGTATTGTGCAAGGGTGCACTCAGCCGGAAGGACGGGCTAGACCTTCAGTTAAACAGATTCTTAGGCTTCTATATGAAACTTCAGATCCTGTCCATAGCGGGTTCCTGCAAACCGATGAAGAGGGAGAATTTGGTGGATGTGCAGCTCGGGGAAGAGCGAGTAAAGGGAAAATGCATAAGAACAACGCCGTTTTTAACGGTAGCGATGTAAGATATCTAGCCTCTTCCTCTAGTACATCTAGGTCACATGGTAGTAGAAGCTTTTTGCTTGAAACCGGGTCCCCACAGTCTCCTCCTAATATGCTTTCACTATGAGGCCTGTTTTTTCTCTAAGTTTTTAGGGACTTGGAAAGCAAAGTACAGAGCAATCTAAGCCAGCAAAGGGAAGGGATTTTCTTTTGTATTTTCCCTTGAGAGTTTCCATATATGCTTTCAATTTTTGTTGTGTGTAGCCTTAAAGAGGATGTCCACCCCTTGAGGTTTTTCAGTTGGCCTCAGTGAGCGGGTAGAGTTGAACAAATGTAAGGTTAGTGTCACAAGTTTGCTCAACATTTTGTTAAAGAGAGGTTACAAAGAGTTGCATGTGCTTTTATGATTTCATGAAATTCTGAAAAGTGCTCTATAGATCATTCTCAATAAGAAGCGGTATCGCTAGTGTATCTGCTCCTTTTAGTTCTTGTATTAGGAGCCTTTTAGACAGGATATGCATTCCTTCATCTAGACAGGCTAGCAGTAAATCTTCACGAAGCAGATAGTATATCTATCAGGAGTCCAATGCCGGTTTGGCTTCATGTCCTTAAAATTTGTTACTTTTTGCTTTTCGCATCTCTGCAGTGGAGACCTTCAAACTCTAAATTCTTTTGGGCAGCTTTTTTATGTTGATGTAAATGTTCTATGATGTTCTGTTCTTTATATTAAATCTTATTCCTGTCTGATACTAGCTGGGCAAAATGATTCCATTTAGAAAATACGAGCAATTGCCGTCTCTTGAAAATGATTACCGACTCCGCCAGCAAAATAGATTGCTAAGTTTGCAGGGGTAATTATACTGTCTGATAACAAGATAGATGGTTGAGAACTGTCAAAAGTTGTTATGAAAAAGCCCTAATCCTTCTTCCTTCTTTTCATTTGATTGATTCTCATGTTGACTGAAATCTCGATTTAAACTGTACCTTTTGAATGTCTCTACCTGTAGATACTCTTTTGATTCAACTTGCTGGGAGGTTGGCAATTTCAGATCCTTTTTCTTGTTGCCCTTCTTGGCCGATTGAATCTAAGATGTGCCGATAGAATCTAAGAACGCATTCGATGGTTCAATGAACAATACTTTCCGCCATTTTCAATGGGTATGTCGTAATCTGTATTGTGGACTTCAGCATAGGGACTGAAAGGTATGGATCGTGTTGTAGCACAAGGACGGATTTATCGTTAGGAGAATGTATGAATCTTGAAACTTGAAAACGATTTTTCGGCATCAACTATCTTGACTTATCTTGCTTCGCCGGCTAATGTGCAGCTTTAATTTTGGTTTCATCGATTCGGTCACACCCGTCATCTCTGACATATTTTGCACGAGATATGGTTAATTAATAAACAGAGTTTGAACTTCTATATAAGTCCAAGCTAATCTCTCCTCATAGTTGCGAGACAAAAATCGATCCATTTCAGAGAACTATACGAAATGACAATGAAATGTGATATGCTTTATAAGCTCTTCCTTCTCATCTCGACTGTAGTGTCCGCTTTGGCCATAGACTACCGAAAACCCTACATAATCCACATGGACGAATCGGCATTGCCCGCTTCGTACTCGTGTCACCATGACTGGTACACATCACTTCTGTCATCCCTATCATCATCCCCTGATGAAATCGACCCGACCCATCTCTACACATACGACCATGTCTTGAATGGATTCAGTGCAGTGTTGTCACAGTCCCAACTAGACGAGCTGGAACAGGTTCCTGGTCATATTGCCTCGTATCCGGACACATTCGGAAAGGCTCATATAACATATACTCCTAAGCAGGGGTGTGCAAAGGAACCGAAAACCGCCCGGAACCTAACCGGACCAGCTCGGAACCGGCGGTTCCCATGAGGACCGGTACGGTTTTCGGTTCTAATTTACTAGAATCAGTGAGTATCGGTCCGGTTTCCGGTTCTAGGCGTGGAACTGCCCACCCGCCCATCCGGACCGGACCGGTAATGCCTTTACACCTGAGGCGATGAACGGCTAAAGGTGCAGCCGTGAGTCTCACGGGAGTTGAGAGTCGAGCTTTAGATTAGGGATTTTATGGTTTTCATTTTTCTAAAAATGTTTTTTTTTTTGTTGAAATCTTTCTAAAAAATTATATATATATCTTTGTCTATGTTGCCAATCGGACCTTGCAAAGATCCGATGGTAGCCAAAAAGAATAAGCGATATTAAGCTTATATACAATTAGAAAGATAGGTAGAATAGGCTTCAATGGTTGCGCCACGTGTCAAAATAATATGCATTCCCATATTTTTATAGGAAATCAATGGACTGAATTTGATACGCAAAGTGCTAATAAAGGTTTACTTAACTACATTTTATTCAATAAAATGAAGCGTGATGAAAAATTGAAAGGTATTATTTAAATGTATGAATCCAAAATAATAAGTTAGTAGTCAATTTGCTAATAAGATAAAAATCCAAAATTTCCCTTTCATTCATTACTCAAAAGTTTTTTTTTCCACCTATCTGCAGGAACATGATCAATCCACGCTATATTAGAAGAGTTCATAAATTAACAATTAATTGTGAGGTGACTATGAAAATTGTAACGTACTGGAAATCCTAAAATACTAATAAATCATATAACATATTATGAAAAGAAGTTCTTATCCATCTAATTATTATTTAAATATCATACTCGCATAGGCAGTTACGTATTAAAAATTAAGACATCAAAATAATACAAAAACATCATTAGTATCCAACAATCAATCACACCGCAAGTCAAATCAATATAATCGCCATGTTACAATACTTCTATTTCTGTATATACAAAAAAAAAAATCTCAAATTATATGCATATACAAAAGGAACACCAGTTTATTCAAAAGTATTCGGTTATACGTCGCTTAAGAACTTTCGTTGTTACTAGATATATTTTCGTTTCAATAAATGTCACAAAATATAAAATTTTATACAATTCATATAATTCTTTAAAATCATACTATCCAACTAAGTTATAAACAGTGCACGAGATTTCAACAAGTAATTTCTCATTGGTCGACTTTAACTCCATAAAATAAGTAGTGAATCAAATCAATTCTCGTGGTAACAACAAAAGTCAACTTAACTATGGCAATGCTCCTCCTCCCATCAGTCAAACCAAGTGTCGTTCCTTTCCCTTCCACGCGGTGCTGTCTCTTCCCTGAGATAATGGAACGTCGCAAGAGGACCAGACAAGCCCTTAACTTTGAGGTAAACTATATTCAAGATGCCTCGTTACATGAAAGATTCGGTGGTTTCATTTTGTCCCGTTTGGAGTTCTTTTATAGCCAAAAAGGTGCAAGAGGCAAATTCTTATAGCCTATCCTAGTGGCGAAACCGATTCTAGTTACTCCTTAGTAGGTCGGACTCAGCTCGATAATCGCTCAAGATCGACTAGTTTGATTTTGAGTCGAACTCGAGTTATTCGAGTATCTTGTCAAGTCAAGCCCGCACCCACCCATTCTTAGCTCGACAGGATCACAAGCCCGCACCCACCCATTCTTAGCTCGACAGGATCGCGGCCCTGATTTAAGCCCAATCCAATTTCTCTATCTATTTATTAGCAAAAAAAATAGACAGATGTCCTCAAAATTGTACGATATGCTCATATTATACTGAGCTCTATCAAGATCGAGTTGAGTTGAGTCGAGTCGAGCTGAGCTAGAGTATCTCGATTTTCTAGCCAAGTCGAGCTTAGGCAGAAATTTATATACTCGATCAGAGTCTAGTTTTGAACATCAAATGTGCGAGTCCAGTTGAGCTCTCCTAGCTTACCCTATATGGCTTTCAAATTAACCGGATATCAAGGTGACAACCACATACACAAAAGCTGCGTTAGGAAACTCAGGGATGATAGTGTTGAGATTATGACCTAAGAAAGTTGAAAAGGCAATATGCACAAGCAGGGATATGTGAATGCCATCGACCTTGGTTGTTCAAGGTAGAATTCACCTAGTCTTAAGACTCAGAATAATATACATCCAATAAACATAATTGGACATTTAGATGCTTCAAGTCGAGCTTAGGCAGAAATTTATATACTCGATCAAGTTCGAGTCTAGTTTCATGCGGCAAGAAACTGCCCATCGAAGCTCCCTCATCTTCCAGACTAGCCTCGGAACTTACGGTGGGGGAGTAAAAACAGAGACAGCGGAGCATTCGGTCTATACCAGGTCTTCAGTGAGCTTCAAATTCTTCTCCGGAGAACCTCACGCGCCACCGTGTCTCCCAAGTCGTTTCTTTCCGGTCTGTAAAATTGGTTTTGATTCATTCTAGATTTATCCACTGATTTCTGCTCTGTTTCGTTTTATTGTCGTGCATGGGGTCGCGGCATCAAGCCCTTTACGAGTCATCGCACCATACCCTCGGACTGGCGCCTAATTGTATTGGACTTCACGTCGCCGCCACGGTCGCGCACCTCGTGACCTCACACCTTGCTTTTCTGTTTAGAATTGACCCCGCACCTCGCGGCTCCTCGGGAGGCTCAGGCTTCACCGGCGAGGCCGCGCTGGAAGGGGCATCTTCGGCGTGCTGCAACGGAGGAGACGGGGCGGCGCGGAAAGACAGAAACGCAGGAAGCATAAGGGAGTAGGTTGGGCGAGTGGAGAACTTGGAATCACAAATTCTTTTTGCGTCAAAAGAATTGGCAGGCCGTTTGGTGATGAGAAAGAGAATGAACAGAACTTGATACGTGCAAATCTGACCATCGATGGAGGAGACGACTACATATGGAGGATGCAATTGATAAGATTGATGAGAGGATGCAATCGATAAGATTGAGATATAACTGACTCTAGAAAGCCAACGTAGCCTCTCCCTTCTTACAAAACAAACTTTGTAGATGAACTCTATTAAGAATGAAGCAAAACAGTGCGATTTTTGCGTACAAATTGAATCTGACAAGAGAAAACCACTTTTCTATGTGAAAATACTACTGCTGTTCATAGAAGAGAATTCAAACCGTTCCCCAAAGCCAGGAAAGCCCGAGATAGAGAACTACTGTCCCCCAAACTAGGAGGTTGAGGTTTTTGGTGGTTACAACATCTGAAGGATGTACAGTCTAAAACATCATGCACTTCATGCTGAAGGTGAGCAGAACTTTATCATATTGCGAGGGATGACGGTCAAATAGATCATCCTCCAACTAATTTTGTCCACAGACGTTCTTAGGAGTCCATTACCCTCTGTATTGCAGCAACATAGAAATCCTTTGGCATGGTACCAACAACAGATTCACGCTTCTGTCCGTTCTTAAAAAGCAAGACCACCGGAACAGCTTTAATATCATAGTCTTCAGCAATATCCAGGTCATTGTCGGTGTTGAGTAAAAAACATCTAATCTTCCCAGCATACTCTTCTGCAATCTCGTCTATGATCCGGTGGACCATCCTGCATGGTCCGCACCAACTAGCATAGAATTCAACCAGTACGGGAACTTCACTGTTTACAATCAACTCATGCCACGAATCTTTCGTAACGACTGCAGCTGCACAATTACCGCGTGGAATGATCAGAACAAGCTATTCAATTCATTCCACAAGCATTAGAGTTTAATTATTGTATTACCCAACTTACGTGATTAAGAGGAAAAGAAATCTATGCGATGTTAATGTCAATGGTATCAGATTCAAAAGCAGATTTTACAAAGTAATGCACAGAAAAATATGACGGATCTACAGGACAGAATGATGCTGTTATGGTGCTATGGCCAAGTGGAAATAAGCCCAGTTGGTTATAAAAAGTGAATTTATCCCGTCAGCTCCATCAACTTGGGTTTAAGAGACGGGTAACTTCACCATCCATCATATTGTCATAAGCTTTAGAAAAGATATGCTCATTTAGTCCCCCCCAGCAATTGGCATTTCCTGATGTTCTAAAGGAATACACAGCTCTCGGTCTAGACAAGACAACTTCTGGAATTGCCGTAAATAACTTTGCTCGGAAAAAAGCGAAAACTTAAATGAACACTAACCCGAAACACAGATGGATTGATAAATAAAGAGACCCAAATACCCACATCAGAAAATTATACCATTACCTGACGATCGCAATCAGATAATGCGGAAGAAAAGTTTCAGAACATGAGAGGAGAAGTTCTAATAAGTTATCAGATGGGTAAGCATTCAGGGGATTTGCTTCCTCTCTTTTCTTTCGAGAAAAGAGACGATAAGCATCTCAGAGTCCACTTATCACACGATTAGACCCTACAGTACTCTTTGCCCATTACATGCGTGACCAGCACAAGAACAAGAACCTACGATTCAGAGGTCATCCTTTCCAAATTTACTGCGCAACAACATCTTCTCCGTTCGTATTGGTCAAGCTAGAGTTCCTATTTGTTACGCAAATTCAGAAAGGGGCTCTACTGCGATCGGGGAAGAAAGATGAATCAACCTATAAAGCCATGGCTTGCACAATTCAGCCTCAAAAACTAAATTTAACACAGATATGATTCAATCATTTGGCAATCGGGTGCCTCCCCAGTTCCGAATCAACTAGCCCGCCTAATGTGCTCAAATGGTAAGGAGCGAAACGCATCACCGCGCCTAAAATAGCCTAAATGAGAAGGCTTTTGATGAGAACAACCACAAATTAAATCAAAGACGCAAGATTTTCCTTCACGCATTTCTGAATCCAACTGAAAAAGATCACTACGCAATCTAGTTACAAATGCGGGGAGCGATTCAAGACGAAGAAAACAGCAAGAATCAAGGCGATTCGGATCGAACCGAGCCCGAATCACAAGGGGAGAGCGACCCGACTCGAATTCACGAACCAAGGATGCGGCGAACGCGACACGGGAGGAAAATGCGGAGGACAAAGGAGAGAGAGAGAGAGAGAGAGAGAGAGAGAGAGAGAGAGAGAGAGAGAGCTTACTTACCCTTGAGCTGGCGCGCGGAGGAGAGTGGGACGGGGAAGCGAGACGACGGGGAGGGAGGAGCGCGGGAGACCCTGAGCCCCAATCCCGAGGGGGAGGGGGAGGTCAGAGGGAAGGAGACGCCGGTGGGGCTCGGCGAGCGGCACGCCGGAGGGATCGCCGACCAGGAGCGTGGGGAGCGCCAGGAAGCGGCGGCGGCGGCGGCGGCGGCGGAGGCGGAGGAGGAGGAGGAGGAGGAGGCGGCCGCCATCTTCCGATCCAGCAGGGGGGGGCGCGCGGGGAGCGCGACGAGCCGAAGCAGAAAGGATCGAAGCCTTTTGTCTTAGGTGGAGGAGAGCGAGGAGGAGAATCGCATCGGAGAGAGAGAGAGAGAGAGCAAAAATGGCGCACGTTTATGTCGATTCCCGTATCGGAAAGTCTTGTCCTTTGTAGTGAGAGAGAGAGAGGGGAAATGGCGCACGGTGTTTCGTTCGTATCAGAAAAGTCTCCTGAATAGAGAGAGAGGAGAGAGAGAGAGAGAGAGAGAGAGAGAGAGAGAGTTGTTTTATTAGAGAGGTGTTTGTGGTTTGGTGTGGTGTGGCGACTGGTGAGAGAGTAGCTTGATGAAGAGGGAGAGGGGGCGTAGGTGGGTGCGGATGATGACTGATGATGGATCCCGGCGGCCCATATTTGCGGTTGTGGAGGGCGAGGGGAGGAGGCGCCACCCGCAATGGTGTTATTTTTTAGGGTTGGGACAAAAAGCCGAAATTGAAAAGCGAAAAAAAAAAAAGCCACTAAAAACCCTTAAAACTATGCCCGCCAGCGACTCGTTCGCTCTAAACTTTTTTTCCGTGACACCGAAAAATACTAAACTCGTGCTACCCTCCCTCAAAATGCTACCAACGAGAAACCGTAAAAGAATCCGTCCGTGTTGACAGCCCACGTGGCTTAAGCGAAATAAAAACGACCTTATTTTTTGCTGAAAAAATCATATGACGGAACCTTGATGGAGAGTAAGTGTGCCACGTAGGTACGAGTTTGGGGTTTTTTTATGTCACGAGAAAAAGTTTAATGTAAATGTGTCACGGTGCGCATAGTTTAGGGTTTTTTGTGGCTTTTGAACTTTGACCCAGTGTGTAATGTGGTCCTCGAATTTTTAATTTGTTTAATGTGATTCCTGAACTTTAACTCGTTGTGCAATGTGGTCCTTAACTACATGAAAATGTTCAATATTGTCCTCCATTAATTCAACTTCAGGAAAGACATTAAACATTTTTATGTAGTTCAAGAATTAAATTGAACAGATACTAAAAGTTCAAGGATCACAGTGAACAAATCAAAAGTTCATGGGTCACATTGCATATTGGGCCAAATTCAGGGACCGGGTGTCATTTTCCCAAAGAAGAAAGCTAGGTTCGTTACAAATGCATCCTCTAAGTTAGGTCTAAAGATCTCGGCACTTTGTACCTTGTTAGAGAAAAGGGTTAATACCACGAAAAACCCTAAACTGGTACACTTGTGACAGATTTACCCCAAACTATTTTTTTGACCATAAAAATCCTCAAACTGGTACATCTGTGACAATTTTACCCCGAACTATTTTTTTCATCACCAAAAGCCCCAAACTGGTACACATATGACAATTTTACCCCGAACTAATTTTTTAATATTATTTTTTCGAATTTTTTTAGTTTTTCTTATCTTTTCTTTTTCCTTTCCTTTCCTCTTTTTTTTTCCTTCATCTTCAACCTCTGGCTGGCGAGGTCGGCCCCGCTGGCCAACGGCGAGGTCGACCTCGCCGTTGCTAGGCAAGGCCGACCTCGTCGGCAACTAGCGAGGTCGGCCTTGCCCACCCCTGGCGAGGTTCGACCTCGCCAGTTGCCAGCGAGGGGTCGTCCTCGCCGTCGCTGGCGAGGTTCGACCTCGCCGCAACTGGCAAGGTCAGCCTCGCCCAGAAGCGGCGAGGTCGAACCTCGCCAGGGGTGGGGCAAGGCCGACCCTGCCAGTTGTCGGCGAGGTCGGCCTCGCCAGCGGCCGGCGGGGCCGACCTCGCCGGCCCCGCCTCCGGCCGGTCGCCGGACCGGCGACCGGCCAGAGGTTGAAGATGAAGGAAAAAAAAAAAGAAAAGGAAAGGAAAGAGAAAAGAAAAGAAAAACTAAAAAAATTCGAAAAAATAAAAAAATAATATTAAAAAATTAGTTCGGGGTAAAATTGTCACAGGCGTACCATATTTGGGTTTTTGGTGGTAAAAAAGATAGTTCGGGGTAAAATTATCACAGATGTACCAGTTTGGAGTTTTTTATGATTAAAAAAATAGTTTGGGGTAAATCTGTCACAAGTGTATCAGTTTATGATTTTTCGTGGTATTAACTTAGAAAAAAATGCACATCGGTAAGGGAAATACCTCGGGTTCAATCCATCTATTTTATCATGAGTTGACTGCACACCTAATCCTATGGGGGAAAGGAAGTCTCCTCAATTCACTGGAATTCGTGCATTAAATCAAAGTCTTGTCCTTAAACCCCAATTGCGTGCCGCCTTTTCTCTCTCTCTCAACCCAATTCGAAAGTCCTAATATTTGGCTCGAGAGCAACTGTCCTTTTCATTATATGCGGGGGACGACTTCGTTCGTGTGGGTTGTTTATGCAAATCATGTCTGTTGACATGGCTTCGTCGTTTGCCACCTCAGATGCTACGTACATACATCATGACATAAAAATTTTAACGATAGCCAAAATTGCCTCTAAGGTAAAAAATCGGTGTCTTTTTATGCCACGGTTGAAAGTTGACGCCAAAATTATCCCTTGAACGAAAGTCCGTGACTTTCTTTTGTTGTTGTTGAAAAACCACATTTTTTCCTTTTGGAAAGTTTATGTTTGAGGAAGAGGGGGATTGAATATTCTAATAAATAAGAAATGAAGAGAAAAATAGAGATAAAAATACATAATGTAAGTTCATTTTCCGATTTTCAATAGAAAAACAAAGGAAAATAGGTTAGGTAATTGGGGGACATAAAATAGGTTAGAACGCGAAAAATTGTAGTAATTTGGGCTGTTTCTGATTGGGGGTTTACGCTCGAAAGAATTTAGGTACCATACACTTCTGATTTTTAATTATTCTATTCAATTTTTTAATAGACTCGTTACAAAATATTTTTATTTCTTAGTAACGATTTGTGTCAAATTTCCATAAAGAATAAATTTACTCGTGAAAATAGAGAGCTTCGTTCGTTTCATGTAAAACAACTTCCAGAAAAATATTTTCCGAGTTTTTCGACGTTCATTTCAATGAAAATAAATTAGTCATGGAAAACATTTTCCCTCAATAAACAAAATACCTTCAAATGTGAAAATGTTTTCCCCACCTTCTTTCATCAATTATTATAATTATTTTTATTTTATTTTATTTTTAATTCTAATTTTTTAAATTTTCTTTTTCTTTTTCTTTTATTCTTTTTCTTTCTCTTTTCTATCTTCTTCTCCGGCCGGTCGCTGGCCACCGGCCACAAGTGAGCTCGAGCCTCGCCAGATTCCAACGAGGTCGAGCCTCGCCGGCCTGTGGCAAGGCCGAGCTCACTCGACCAGCCATGGGCGAGCTCGGGTCTAGGGCGAGCTCGCCCTCGCCAAATAAGGCGAGATGGAGCCTCGCCATAGGCCGGCAAGCTCGCCCAGGGCCGGTAACCGGCCGAAGAAGAAGAAGAAGAAGGAAAAAAAAAGAAAAAGAAAAAGAGAAAAAAGAAAATTAAAAATATTTTTAAAAAATAAAAATAAAAATTTATTAAAATTAGTGCAAGGAGGAAAATCTTTTTTATACTAAACAACGGAAAATATTTTCCGAGAGTTTTTCAGATTTCAGCCAAACACCGAAAAATTGAGCCAAATGGCTTCCCAGAAGAAACGTAACATTTTTTGCGAAACGAACGGAGCTTTAAAGCATGAAAGGTTCTAGGAATTTGAACTGTTACAAATTGGTGGGACATAGGCTTGTAAAAAAATCTTAGGTGGCTCCACTCTTTTCTAATTGTTTTATTCGATGTTCTAATCTAAATTTGTGTCACATCAACATGGTATATTTACATTTTTTATTTTTTTTTAATTCAAAAATATGAAATCAATTCGTGTCGAATTCAAATAACTAAGGAAATAATAAAATGATAAATAAAAACCTTATGTTATAAAAAAAGGGTTTGAGGAATATAAAAAATGGCGGCAAAAAAGCACGCCCGGTGGGACTCGAACCCACAATCGCCTGATTAGAAGTCAGACGCCTTATCCGTTAGGCCACGGGCGCTCCTATTGACATCCTTTGTAAATGTTTTCTAAATGTAACGATCGATCGTACGTCGAACCTTCAAGCACGCCCACTGTCGGAGCGTAAATTTACGTGCGAATTGCGCTACGACCTCGTAGTTGTCTTGGACTTCAAGAGCTTGCATTACGGAAAAAAGATTGATGTGCGAGCGAGAGAGATATGTAAAGTTTCTTTTCCAATTTGACCGGCAAGTTTTACATTGGGATTCCGATCGATGGATGTGGCTACCGGGGGAGTTTTTCCTATACACAGAGCAACGAGCGCCGTTCCTTCTTTCTTCTCTTCTCCCCCCACCCCATTGTTTGGTACTTTCACATTCTAAAGACCCCGTACTTGGTGTCTTCCGGGGCGCGGTTCGACGAGGCGGAGATGCAGAGGCCGATGACTTTTCTTGTGTCTGCTGGGTTGATGATCCCGTCGTCCCACAGCCTCGCCGTGGAGTAGTAAGAGTTCCCTTCCCTTTCATATGCCTCCACGACTCTCGCCTTGAAGCTTTCCTCTTCTTCCTTCGTCCACTGCAGCAAAAGCAATGATCGAACCACGTAAGCGTGCCTTTCGTGCAGTCAGTCTTAAGAATGCTCTTTTAACATGAAAATGTGATGTTTTACCTGGACTCCCTGCTTCTTCTTGTTCGCCCTCTCTATTTGAGCCAGAACACCGGCAGCCTACGTATTGCCAAGAGAATACATAAATACAAAGCTTTGCCACGAGTACCAAAGCCAAATTAGATTTTCTCGAAATTACTCTATGAATCTCTCTTAGTTCCTTTTCATGACTCAAGCTCAACTTGTATCGGTTAGAATGCAAGACAGTGCATCATCCTCAATAAATTAGATTACATCTGGTTAATACAAGTAGATAGGTCCACCACTTTACACATTCTACAATGTTGAAAATGAAGTAGGTTGATACTGAACTACGCATGCTTTAAAGCGAGACGCTATACACGATGTCCTTTTC